GTGCTCCAGAGGCCCAGGAATCACAGGGCTGCTCTCCAGCAGCAATGGGCACTGCGGGCCACTCGCTCTTACCAAACTCAGCTCCCGGGTTGGAGGAATTCAGAGCCTCTTCGTCCATGCCCCAGTTGAAGATGTAGCAGTTACCATGGTCCGGGTGGTAGATCTGGGTGAAGTTCCTGCAGGAACCATGCACATAGAACTGTGACTCGGGGGTTACAAACCAAGCCCCGTGGTGGGAGCAGCGCTTGGCAGCCACCCCTGGGACCCACTTCCCATCGCTTCGGTTTTGGATGCCTGTGTGGAAATCGCAGCTGATGAAGTGAATTCAATCATTCTGCTGCTGGAGAAAAGAGCAAAGCCAGGCCCACCCGTGCTGAGAGCCAGCCGCTGGGGACAGCGCTTGGTGGGAAGGGGAAGGCACAGCCTGTCACACCGACGAGAGGAATAATTGCCTGATGGGAGCTGCGGTAACAGGCTTGGGCTGGTGATAAACCTCAGTTGTTGGCAGTACTCGGCTCCCTCTGCAGCAGTGGAGGCTCCTGCTGCTGCTGCTGGGGGGGGCACAAGGATCACAAGCAGGTGAGAAATAGGGATGGCTGAAATGTGCCTCGGAGCCTGTGTAGGGAGAGCAGGGGCTGTACGTGGGGCTGCACGGCTGTGCTGACTCAGCACTGGGCTGGCAGCTGCTGGTCACCCTGGCAGGGCCCTTGGATGCTCATAGTCTCAATACGTCACGAGCAAAACAGCCCATCCAGAACTGAAACTCAAGCCAGCACTATCCCAAACAACCTGTTTCTGCCAGGACCACAGCCAGAAACCCTCTGGGAAATGGTGTTAGAGTTAAGGACCACCAGAGACCTCTATTAACTGATATATGCCTTAAAAATTGGAAAGCAAAAGGCTGCCATGCCTTTAGCATCCTGTCCCACTCCTGATGTGACAGGGAAGGGCAGGGAGCTCGGCATGCACCTACTTGTAGTTGCAGGGTTCAGCGCCATAGAGACAGGCCAGGATCATGTCCTCTGCCTGGTATCCCATCCTGATCCTCTCCTGCAGGGGCACTTTGGAGAGGATGCTGGTGGACTGCAGGATGTACCACTCGGTCACCGCCTGCGCCGCGCTCGTGAAGTTCCTGTAGGTGCAGTTGTCGGAGCCCGGGTGGCTGCACTGGGGGGACACAACAGGCAGGTGTGAGCCGCCTGCAGCAGGGACCCACAGTGTGTGCCCCCCCTCTGCCTGGCGCCAGCCCTGCTGCTGCACCGGGAGATGGGAGCTGGGCCCAGAGCAGGCTGGGTGAACCCCTCTGCCGTGTGCAGCCAGGGGGAAGAGACACCGATCCCCACGGCACATCCCTGCCGAGGCACCCAGTGCTGGACATCCCTCACCCCCCCCCCCCCCAGCTGCCTCCTTGGGACCCATCTCACCAACTTCACTGCCAGCTTGTACTTCTTTTCTTCCAACGTGGTGTTGGCCGGGGTCGGTGCGGTGGCAGTGTGGTTGCCTGCACTGTGGTTGCCTGCAGTGTGGTTGCCTGCACTGTGGTTGCCTGCAGTGTGGTTGCCTGCAGTGTGGTTGCCCGCACTGTGGTTGCCCACAAAGCTTTCATTGCCCGCAAAGGCTGCGATGTCCACAGAGCTTTCGTTGCCCGCAGGGGTCGGGGTGTCTGTAGAGGACTGGATGCCTGCAGTGGTCCGGTTGGTCTCAAAGATGTCCAGGATGATGGGGTTGTCTTTGTCATGCTCGTCGATGAGGACCAGGGGGATCTGGTACCAGAGCTCCAGGTCGAGCGGGGGGGAGATGCTCTCGCTGCTGTTGCCCGGTGAGGGCTGCAGGATCCTCTCCAGCGCCGCATCAATGAGCCGGTCCAGTTCTTTGAGCAGAGGCTTCGCCTCCGAGTATCTGAGGACAGAGCAGTTACGGGTGGTGTGAGGGCAGTGGGGATGTGCAGCAGCTCCCGTGCTGCAGCCCCGGCTTGGGCCTGCCTGGGGACCCCTGTTCACTGCCTAAGGATTTACTGGAGAGCAACAGGAGCCTCTATGCAGAGCACGGGCAGCCCCACAGGAACATGCCTGCAGCCAGGTGGGAAACCAGCAGGAGGATGAGCAGAGCTCGCACTGTGAACCTGCCAGCGCAGACCTGAAGTGGGGGAGTTTACATGAAACACCCCTAGCAAGTGAGAGAAGAAACAGCCCCAGAGCAATTCCTGCCGTTGGTTGAGCGCATCTTGCCTGGGGCTGCAGTACTGGGTGGGTAGCGTTTTAAAGCAGCTCTAACAGGAATCAGTTTCTCCTTTAAAATGATGCACGAGTTGTGTCGCTGCAGCTCCCAGCAGACAACTGCTGTTTAACCAGCTCGTGTGGCCGGAGTGACAGCCATAAGTGGTACGTTCACAGCGAGGAAGGAGGAAGAACAGAACTATGGGGCAGGAAAGAGGCTGATTTTGGTGGTGACAGTGATTGAACTTATCCCTGAGCCAGGGGAAGTTGTCAAGGAGGCAACAACCACCATCAGATGAACTGATACAGTGAGGAAAGGCAGGAGGAGCGCAGGCACACGAACACTTGTCTGGATCTGAGCCATCCACTGCCACACTGTTCTCCTTTATTTAGCTGTTAGTGCCAGTTGGTGACTCCATTGATGCTCCTAATGTGATATCTGAGCCAGGAACAGGTCCACGGTGCCTTACACCAGCAATACCTTACACCATGGCACCTTACACCAGCAGTATCTTACATCATGGTGCCTTACACCAGTAGTACCTTACACCACGGTACCTTACACCTGCAATACCTTACACCACAGTCCCTTACACCATCAGTACAACTGCGGGTGTTAAAGCACAACTGGGTGAATTAGGCTGAGAAAGACTTACCTGTAAGGGTTGGCATTGCAGACTGTGACTGCTGGGAACTTCATGGTCTTAAAGCCGATAGAGAGAGACGAGGTGACGTTGTAGGACAGGTAGGTGTTGATGAGGATGCCCCACTGCCAGAAGACCAGAGATGCAAAGAGCAAAGTTAGGAAGAACCAGATGAGTTTCTTCTTCGGCCCCTCTTTGATGATGCGCTTGGGGCCGTGCGTGTTGGTGTTGTCGCAGTACCAGACCAGCAGCTCCTTGTAGGTGTAGCCGGGGCCCTTCTGCAGGCGGTGCAGTGCCCGGATGAAGTACTTCTTGAGGTTCATGCTGTGCTCTGCGAGGGGAGAGCAGACCACAGGCATCAGAACGATGGTGAGGAGCAGGTTGGTATCACACTGCGTGCTCTGGGGCTATCAGCAAAGCAGAAGGGGAAGTTATGTGGTGGCACCACCATGGGTTTATAACGCAGGAGCTGTTCAGAGCAGACGTTCTGCAGGGTCATGGTGTGGCAGTGAACAGCCCCTCTCTCCCGAGGGGGTGTGAAGGGCAGGTTTGTGTTTTGCTGCTCCGAAAGCACCCAATGGTTTTGACACATCCTTCCAGCCCCACAAGGGTTAAGGCACTGGGACCTGCTGAACGTGTGCCACCAGTGACTTACCCAGTACCAGCCCCGGGCCCTGCAGGTGTTGCAATACCCAACCAGGTCACTTTTTAGGAAGCAGGCACTTGGTGTGCAAACTGCTCCGTCTGCAGCACCGCCCGAAAGCTTTGCCAACACTAGATGGACCAGGCAGCACACGCAGGAGCGGGTTTGAAGCGAAACAGTGCTCAGTGTTCGAGCTAACACAGCGCTTAGGACAGCTTTTGTTAACAATAAAAAGCATCAGAGTGCAGCAGGCCATCAGAGGGGGCAGGAGACAGGGCCCTGGTACCTGCAGCACCTTTCCCAGCACCAGGAATGCTGCTCAGTGCTGCTGCCCGCCGGAGGAAGGACAAGGGATCGTTCTTTTCCACCAAATTCCTTTGTGTTTCAGATAGTATCGGTATGCTCGCAGTGCTTGTGTGAGGATGCTGCATAGCTCACATTCACACTGCGAGTAAATAGAACATCTTGTGCTGCTGTTTTAAGGTGAGAATCTGTGTTACCAAATCTCACTATCCCGAGGCAGGATTCAAAACAACCCCAGGCAGCTGCTGAGGGTGCTCTCCAGGTTTAAATGTAGACCAGAGTCAAGGACTGGTGCTGTGTGTAACTCGGCATCCCAGAGGAGAGAGGGCTGAAAGAGCACAACATTGCACCCGGGAGCAGCGCCCAGCAATGCAGAGGCTGGTGATGAAGAGTGGTACTTGCAGAGCTTGAGAAAAGTATAAACCCAAAGGATTTTATGGTGCCTCCCTCCATGATGCAAAGGGAGATGGGGATTTCCATTGCACACCCTGTTGCAAGTGTGTTGGATGCAGCCTAACACCCTGAGGTCTTGATGGGAGAGTGCTTTGGAAAGGAAGCTCCAGCTGCTTCCTCCAAGATCTGAGGCAGGCTCTACTCGTGTGGAAGTGTTTTGCTCCCCAGGGAACGCGTGTCCTGGGACTTCACCTTTTAGGTGTTTTAACTGATCCAGAATGTTTCTTCCCTGATGTCAAAGCTATGGGACCTGTTCTCTGCCAGTGCTGCTCCATCCTGTGGCCTCGCAGGGCGCCTGCCAGCAGGAACACAAGCACGGGATGGGGATGGGATTGGCTGGAAGAGCATCCTCAGGCAGGATGCCTGCAGCATCCCTGCCCCACCATGAAAACACATGGATCCCCACATCAAAAAAACAGGCTAAAAAAAGGTGTGCTGGAAATACAGCAACCAGCACCCTTCCCTTAGGTGTAAGCTCTGCTTTTAAAGCAGTCATTTGACAGAAGGATGGCGTTAAGCAGAGGCTGTGCTTGACCACACGTGGGTGACACCGGTTTGCACTCCTTTTCCTCACTATCATAGTTTTCTTCTTACCTTTATTTCCAGGATTTTTCCAGACTTCCTGTTCCTTTCTCCCTGATGAAAGCCTCCTTCTGTGATGTTCCTTGTCTGATGGGAAGCTGAAGCCTGTTACGGGAGTTCCTCACCCCAGGGACAGAGGCTCAGTGCTGGGATGCTGCAGTGGTGGTTTCAGTGCCCCCCTGCTCCTGCTCTCCCCCATCAGTGTACCTGCAGCAGAGAAAAGTGAGGGATGACAAAAGCCCCCTCTCCATCAGTGCACAGGTGACTGTCACCTTCCTAAAGCCCCTCTGGAGAAGGGAGCAGAGGCTGCGGTGGGAGAGGAGCTGATGGGGAGCTCAGGGATGTGGCGCATGGGGATGTCCCACGGTTACACACTCTGTCTCTGCTGCTGCCCCCAAACCCCTCATTCCCTGCGCAGTGTGCGACACTCATGGGCCTGGGTGTTTGGGTTTATTTCTTGTCTGGCTGCTGTACTTCCAGAGCCGGCTCGGGGAAGGGGAACACGCACCCAGTGGGCTCCCCCACTCCTCCTCCCCTGCATTTCTCATTGTCACATTGCTCTGGCACACTTACCCCTGACATACCAATGTCAGAGCCTGAGCCTGGGCCCCAAGAGCCCTGCAGTGCCGGGGTGCCCTCAACCCCTCTCCTGGCAGCACCCGCACCCCCGTGGTGACTGAAGCGGTCCTAAAAGAGCTCCTGGCTCTGGTGTGGTTTGTTCCATGCTGTGAAAGAGACGTCCTCACCTTGCCCAGCAGCCGCGAGTCCGGCCCTGCGTCAGCCCAGCATCGTCGCAGCTGAAACTCCTCCAGCTCACGGCTGAGATCAGACTCCTGCCTTACGAAAGGAGCGCGCTGACTGTGCCCAGCCTCCTCTGGGCTCTTCCTGCAGCGATTCCCACCTCAGAGAAATACAGACATAAGCAAAGCTGAGGGAGGCTCCAGGGTGGTACCTTGGCTGCAAAACCGCTCCAGCACTGCCAGCCCTGATACTGCCATTATTCAGTACTTTCTCCACTGGGACAGTCAACAGCGACTCCTCTCTGATCACCAGCTGCTGCTCTGCCATCCTCTGCAGAGCCCGGTGTAAAGACCTGGCTTCCCCAGAGGAGACTTTGATCCAACCTAGCAGCGCTTTCGCAAATTAGAGGCAATCTGTTTCATTACATCACAAGTTTGCAGGTTAAGAGAGAGAAATGGAGCAGGAACAGATCAGCAGGTGAGGACAGCCTGAGCTGGGGATGCTTCGGAGAGCGGCTGCCTGCTCCATCACCCACAGCGCCCGGTTGCGCCGGCGCCTCCAGGTCTCCAACCCCAGTGGGCACGCGTACAGCACTCCAGGTGTTTACAGTCTGCGAGTTTAGAGAGCGCTGCCTGGCTCTCTGTGCCCTACGCTCCATCATCCCTTCCTGCCCTGCCTAACCCTGCGTTTCCCTCAGTGGCCCTGTCTGCTTGGATGATGACAAGCCTCGCTCCTCACTCCTCACGTGCCAGTAAGGTCACATTGCTGAGAGCTCTCTGCTGCTTGTGCAATGAACAACGTGAAGCCTGGGATGTAAGAGGAGCAACCCCAGCAGCTCCCTCCCCACCACAGAGCTCCTATCCCGCGATAAGACCCGTGTCCTGGGGGCAGCAGCCCGAGGTGAGGGCATGGGTCCCGCAGCAAAGGAAGTGCATAGGGAGATACTCAGAAAGCTGCACTTTGCTCCCGTACCTGTTATCAGGGAGATCAAAGAACCCCAGCACAGACAGGGGTTAAGGAAAAAAGACAGCACCTGACCCTGTGCATATCCCTATATCCCAACAGCACCAACACTGGCAACACTGCTGCACAAGCATGCTGACATGGGGCGACTTCATGTCTGCATCATGCAGAAAGACACCACAACCGGACTGATGGCATTCCCCCCCGCTCTTCAGAGAGGGAATCCCGGACAGGTTTGTTTTGGAGGAGACTTAAAGCTCATCCAGCTCCAGCCCCTGCCGTGGGCAGGGACCCCTTCCACTGGAGCAGCTTGCTCCAAGCCCCTGTGTCCAACCTGGCCTTGAGCACTGCCAGGGATGGGGCAGCCACAGCTTCTCTGGGCACCCTGTGCCAGCGCCTCAGCACCCTCACAGGGAAGAATCTCACTCCTTAACCGCGCATCCTCTACTGCAAGAGGCGGTGGCAAACCCCGGTGAGGTCTCACCGCGGGCACTTCACCAACCGCTCACACCGGTCCAGCCCCGCCGCGCCGGCCCCTTCACCCCGGGGCTGGAGGGAGGATGCCCGCGGGTACCGGCATCAGCACCGGCACCAGCATCAGCACTGGCACCAACATCAGCACCGGCACCGGCACCGGCACCGGCACCGCCCGGGGTGAAGGAACCGGCGGCCCCGCGCCCCCCGCCCTCACCCGGTCCCCCCCTACCTGCTGCGCGGCGCCGGTAGCGTCCGACCGACAGCGGGACCGGTCCCGCCCCGTCCGCGGCCCCTCCCGCCGGCCCTGCCCACCCCGGTCCGGGCCCGCCCGCCGGCCCCGCCCGCCGCGGCTCTCCCGGGCCTCCCGGAGCATCTTTGGTCACCCCCGGAGCGGATCCATTCCACCGCGGCCCGGGCCCGCTCCCCGAGGGCTGAGGCTCCGGTGCCCTGGGCTCCGGCAAGGGGAAGGGGCGGTGGGAATGGATGGGCACAGGGAAGGAGGTGGCCAGGGAGATGCTGCCGGGGCTGGAGCAGCTCTGCTCTGGGGCCAGGCTGAGAGAGCTGGGCTGGGGCAGCCTGGAGAAGGGAAGGCTCCTGAAGGGGAGACCTTAGAGCAGCTCCAGTGCCTAAAGGGGCTACAGGAAACCTGGAGAGGGGCTTGGGACAAGGGCCTGTAGGGACAGGCCAAGGGGAATGGCTTGAACCTGCCAGAGGGGAGACTGAGATGAGCTCTTAGGCAGAAGCTCTTCCCTGTGAGGGTGCTGAGGCGCTGGCACAGGGTGCCCAGAGAAGCTGTGGCTGCCCCATCCCTGGCAGTGCTCAAGGCCAGGTTGGACACAGGGGCTTGGAGCAAGCTGCTCCAGTGGAAGGGGTCCCTGCCTGTGGCAGGGCTGGGACAGGAGGAGCTTTAAGGTCCCTTCCAACCCAGACCAGTCTGGGAGATCTTATACAAGAGCACAACCATGTAAAGTGAGTTTCTTGCCCTGGTTTGAGATGCCACGGGGGTCAGGACATCCCCTCATGGCTTTTGCTTTCCTCACTCCAACCATGCCCACAACCAGCTATGGCCCAGTCCAAGGCACTGCAGGTGAACTGCACGAGTGCCTTTAAAGAGGTTTAGAAGCCTTTTTAAGAAGATCTTAGAATCCATTTTTGAAAGACCTCCTTTCCCTACACTGGGGCCAGCTCTGTGCGTGTGCGGGAGCCCTGGGGCCAGCAGTGCTCTACAGCCACAGCCTAGAGGTGAAGAGCATCTTGAGTGACTGTGGGAGATGTTAACTCCTCGCAGCAGAGCAGTAAATGGGTCTGACCCTCCTGGGACCATAAATCACTGCAGAGCAGCACAGCATTGGGAGAGGCCACGACTGCCTCTCACTAGGAAACGTCCTCGCAGGTTCTCGTTCAATCAGGACTGGGTCAGACTTTCCCAAACGTCCCCTGGTGCCGTTGTTTGGGAACAAAGGGGATTTTTGTTGTTAAAGCTCAGCCGCTCTGCCAGGACTGGAATCTGGGCTTGTGTTTGAGCAGCGCTTGCAGGTGGAGCTAGAACGAACAGGTTGGATGGCCAGTACCAGGGCTCACCCGGTTCTCAACCCCGGTCCTGTCAATATAATCACCCTCTATCGCTACTTCTTTCCCCAGAGAACAATGTCTGCCACCGGCGCTGAAGAATAGAGCTGAAAATAGAGCAGGCTGCGTTTGTTCGCGGTGTGAGGGAGGCATCAGCTGTGGAGCCAAATGACCTTGAGTTGGGCTCGGCTCTGCCTTGTCTCCCTTGCCTCATGAGAACGTTTATTTCATAAGCAAAACCCTCCTGCTAAAAATACAGCTGAACACCCCGGGGGAAGCTCTGCTGCCGCCCAGGCATTGTGCTGCAGCCGGGCCCTTGTGCACCGCTGCCAGCAGCCAAATACAGCTGAGACCCTATGAATGGCACCACCGAGCTGACCCGTGGTGTTCCCAAAACAGCGGCTGGTCCTGCATGGCTCTGCTGAACGGGAAATGTTTTACTGGTGGCTGGAGCGGGTACAGGCAGCCTGAAAAGGTTTCTGGGATGGTTTTTAGACCTGTACATAGGTGAAGAGGTTCTTGTGCCAGAGCCCAGGGCAGAGACCCAGAGACAGCTCTGTGGGGAGGAAATCACCCCAAAATCACAGTTCAGGTCACTGGAAAACCCCTTTGACTCATTCATACGTGGCTCTGTGTGAATCTGCATCGCTCGTGGGTGAATGATGCCCTTTGGTGGTGCGGGAGGTGAGGGGCCAGCCTTTGGTGCTCAGGGATTTGGGAAGCCTCTTTGGGCTCCAGAAACAGGAGCGGTGCCCACGGCTCTGTGCCTGGTGTTACCTGCGAGTCCCCTCTCCCAGCCACGGCGGGCACGATGGCACTGCCCATGCAGCCGCTCACGGCACTGGCGTGCAGCAGGACCTGCCAGACCGACGTGCTCGGGATGAGTCACGGCTGCAGCCGTTTCCCGTCGGACGGCTCCGGGTGTGCGGGCAGCGCTCCTGCCAACCGGCACCGGGAGGAGGGCGCCCATCCCATGGGCACTGCTTGTCCCATGGCCATCGCTCTCCCTGTGCTGGTGGGGCCGGGTCTGTCCCATGGGCACTGCTTGTCCCATGGCCCTCGCTCTCCCTGTGCTGGTGGGGCCGGGTCTGTCCCCATGGGCATCGCGCACCCCATGCTGGTGCCCTGCATGGTGCTCCCCCCTAGCAGCGGGGAGGCTGCTCCTGCCGCAGGAAGCCGGGCATCACCCGTTCCCTTGCAGGGTGCAGACAGGCTCGTTCAGCACTTTAATTGCCCGGTTTATTGGGTGCACTTCCAGAAACATGCTGTCCCTAAACAAAATAGAGTAATTTAGTTGTGACCAGTAAAATCACAGTGGAACGATAGCGAGCATCTCACCAGCCAACCTGCTCTGGTAACCGCTGCATATAAAACCTTTTTAAGTGACCTCTGTTTGCGTTACAAAGATCAGGCAGTAAAACCAAGGCTGGTTTTGTTTTACAAGCAGCAGCAGAGGGAAGCGGCCCCCCCGGCCGGCTCTGGCACTGCGTGGTCCATGGCTTCGGAGTGAGGGGCTTGGTGGGCGCCTGGGCTCATGGTGCTGGGTGCAGGTACCACCTCTGTGAGCTGGTGGCTCAGGAATGGGAGGGATGGGGTAAAACCCAGCTTGGGGACAGTCCCACAGTGCTCTCAGCCTGAGCACTAATGACCCTGGTGACTGAACCTGGACTCAGCCCACTGGGCTGTGCTCCTCTTAGGGGGTGAAACCAGGAGGATGCTGTTGGCATGGGGCTATGATTTGTCACTGATGGGGTTTCCCCAGACCCACTCCCTCTCTAATTGATGTGACAGGGAATTAGCTGCACTCCTTTGCCTTTTCTGACATAGAAGTTATGGGAAAAAAGAGCCTCTGGCCAGGACCACATTGTCCAAAGATGGGGTGTAAGATGGGCTCTGGCCCCGGGATGCTGTGGCCCAGGCCGTGGAGCGCCAGCGTGGCGCCAGCCCAGACGGAGCATCATAAAGATCCCTGTGGGCCGGGGCTTTATGGTCCTCTCCCATGTTCTGGGGGAAATGTGAAGTATTTTGTGCCGGTGAGTTTTTATAACAAGGACAGGAGCGGGGATGATTGCCCCGTGTGATTGTGCAGGGGAACAGCTTGTCCCTTCCCGGATTCGTTATGTAAACTTGGGTGAGAAGGTCTTAAAACACCAGCGGGGACGGTTCTGAGCGAGAGGCGTTGTGAAAACACGGTGATTCACTGCGGGTCCGGCCAGCACCTGCCTCCAGCCACCCTGTGCGTGATCGCACCTCCACCAGGGCTGCGGCGCGCTTTAGACCCCAGCTGGGTGGGTTTGATGAAAGCAGGCGTTTGTCCATCCCTAGAACCAGATTTGGACAAAGTGCATGGGTGGAAGGAGGCCGCAGGGATCCCATCAGCGTGCGCTGGAGCCGGGCTGGCTCTCAGGTGGGCAGGAGGTGCCAGGCTGGCCCCGCAGAGGCTTCGCTGGTGAGCGTCCTCCTGCGCCTCGTGTCCTGCTGCTGCCGAGCAGCCAGGGCAGTGGGCATGGGGATGGGCAGCGCAGGACAAGCTGAGCAGGGCTGGGGATGTGGCTCCCACCCAGCTCCTTCTGGAAGGGAAACTGAGGCAGGAGCCTGAGCCTGGGGGAGACGAGGCGGTGCGGGAGCGTGACAGCCAAGTGCTGAAGCACAGGGATGATGCCAGGCAGGACCCAGCGCCAGAGCACGCTGCCTGCGTTTCCCTGCTTGTCCCTCGGGCTGTGTTGCAACCAGGCCCGGAGCGGCCGGGTCAGTGCCCGCAGCTTGCGGCTGCTCCTGCCTGGGCCCGAGGGACGAGCCCCAGTGCAGTGTGTCCTGCTGGGGCAGGAACCCGCTGTGCCGCATTCCCACCCGTGCCGCAGGGACAGAGCCCCTGCCCGCAGCCGCTGCCACCCGGCTCCCACGGCTGCGGCATCCTCAGCACCCACTGCTCTGGAGGCAGGTGGATGTGATGCAGGAGAAGAGCCTTGGCTTTGGGAAGAAGGGGGCAGATGGAGGAGATGTCATCAACCCCCCAAGGGAAGCGGTGCCCCAGCTGCCAGCACAGGGAAAAGCTGCTCTGAGCCTGCGGTTGTGCAACCGTGCCACTGGGCGTGCGGTGCTGACGGGGCACAGCAGCACCCATTTGGGAGCAACCAGGGGCCGGTGGCTGAGCATCGCCCGGGTGCTAGGGTCTGGCTCGGTGGGTTCAGGCTCTCACCCATCATCATTCACCCACAGCGCTGCCCTCGCAGCGTGGGGCACTGAGCCACCGGCACGGTGGGGCACAGGACGTGCTGTGAGCAGGGTTACCCCGGTGCTGCTGGAGGTGTGAGGAGTCGGTGGTGACTGCACCTCCCGGTCCGTCCTGTTTGCAGGGAGATGCTGGCGTGGGGATTAGTGCCGGGGCCGTGTCGCAGCATGTCACTGCGGGTGCTGCAATCCGGGGTTAACCTTTGACTCAGCGTGTCTGAAACCTGCAGCACTGCCAGGGCCCGGCCTGTGCTCGGGGTGCTCCTGGAGGAGCCTCCGCATCCCCATGGGGTGGTGGGGGTGGCTAGGGCCTGGTATTGTGGTGGG